GACTACTTCTCACTTACTACTACTACTACACTTACTACTACTACTACTACTACTAGCATTACTACTACTACTACCTAATACTACTACTACTCTTACTGCTACTGCTACTACTATTCACTACTTTTTCATCTATCAAACTTCTTACTCATCATATATTTCTAACTCCAGTATATAATAGTTTCTGAAGCTCTCAAGCGGAAATTAGGGGAGTAAAGAGGGTGAATAGATATAAGGTAAACGGGTGAGATTAGGTACCCCTAGTAATTGATAGACTACTGTATAATCACCGTAAAGGGCATGTTATACCGGTATTCCTGGTCAAAACACGACTGGTAAAATAAACTTTTTTTTTCGTTGGTTTCAGGGCTTCAAAGTGGCGTATGTTGTGTTCACTTCGGCAGATTCAGTCGAAAAGGCAATGGAAGTACCCTCTGGAACGGCATTATATTTGTCCTCCCAGGGCAATCCTTTGCCGACAGGAATTAAAAGTAAGTTTGTTTTTATTTACACCTTTAGTGGCATCACATTGTCTGAATTTTATATTTTTTTATTTCTTTCTCTTTGCTCTCGCCCCCCCCCCTCCCTTTATCTTTCTTCCTCGATTTTCCCCCTCTCCCTTCTTTGTCTCCCTCCTACTTCCTCAAAACCTAGTTTCTTATATATGGCTACCTTTATTTCAGAGTGGTGTGCTATGTATAATAAATCATTCGTAAGCAAAACAGTGATGGCTGAAGAAATTAAAGGTGTAATGGAAGATTTCGACAAAAGGAAAGAAGCAGAAAAGACTGGAAACACAGAGCCAGATGAGGACGGTTGGGTTACTGTTGTCAACACGTAAGTAACAAACTGCCCCCCCCCCCCCTCCGGATCCCTTGCCCGTTGTTCTTGTGTGGGGAGGGGGGGGGTTAAGACGGAGACCGGAGGCCCAAGGTAGGAGGTCACTCCTAACTTGAACCGTAGACCTCTTCTCAATCTAATTTTGCACGGTCTCATCTCTTCTGCATCCCTTTCTTCTGTCTACATCCCCGAAGTGTTAGAGCCGTGCTTTAAAGACTGGCTTTATGTCAGTTCTGAGCGGCCGGTACTGGGCTTGCTCTTACCTCTTTACTACTATAGTAACCTACAGGGCTCTATAACCTTTGACATTTAACACAATTTCTTGTAACGTTAACGCCTTTATAAACATTTCCGCCACAATACTTTCTCATATTGCTGTATGACATTTGATGTATAGCACTTTATGTTTTGTCTATCACCCAAACAGCCTTATGTCAGACCCCAAGAAAAAAAAAAAATAAAAACATCCTTACACGGGGCTTTGACCCCACCCCCTCCCTAATGGCCTAAGATGTTGACGCGACAGCTTTTCCATAAATAACAAGAAATGCAGTGTTTTGAGTATTTATCCAAGTAATGTATGTATGCACCTTTCATATATATATTTGATTATATTCCTGTTCAAATGTACCCCATTAAATTATTTTTTTCTTAAAGGAAAAAGAAGCCTCGGCAAGTAAAAGTTGACGAATTGAAACAGAAGAGAAATAGAAAGAAGAAAAAGCAGCAAAAGTTGGTCAACTTCTACAGTTTCCAGGACAGACAGACGAAAATGGATCGTAAGTATTGGAGCTCCGAAAGTCGAGGAATTATATATGAGAGATGACATAGATTGTCAGTCTTCCATTTCATATGTGTATAGAGAGATTTATGCTTATTTCCCCCGCCAGATCTTGCACAGCTTCGGAAGAAATTTGAGGAAGACAAGAAGAGGATAACCCAAATGAGAACATCCAGAAAATTCAAACCATACTAAAGCAGTCGGCGATTATGGAGGAAAGTTTTGTGGATTGAAGTTATATTAAATTTTATTTACTAATTCCGTGTATTACTGGTTACCTGTTGTCTGTATATAGAGTTGGAGGCCCAACTCAAGTGTAATAAGGGCAGGAATTATAATAATTGAAATATAACCGGAAATAATTTAAAATTCAATGGCATTGGAGTTCTCAGTATCAAGTGTTCCGTTTCTGAATATTGCATAAACATTCCAATAACGCTATTTCAGTTGAAAAAATAGGTTAGAGAAAATACGTGTACTTGACTTACTATCAATTTGGCCAATGCAATATTACTGGTAATTTGGATATTGAAAAATTCTTGGCATGGTAAAAGCACAACTTATATGGTTCATCAGAGACTTCAATTCATATATTTTCGGTTTACTCCAGGGAAGTTTTGTAAATTAGTACCTTTCCTTGCTGTCCAATAGATTCTCATTTGGTGTAATGGGAGTCGATACTCATATGGCGTTGATGCACTCTCAAAGGCAAGTTTTTCAACCATCTCGGTCAAGTATAAAGACGTCCATTTTTTTTCTTTGCTTTTCTTAATATATATATTGCAGAAGTCCTCAACTGGACACCGTTCTGGTTAGTTGGTCCGAGTCCAAATTAAAAAGGCCAGTTGCAAAATTAATTACCCACTCTTCCGCCTTTGTAACTTCGCCCTGTGGCGTTATCATAGGGACATTTTAACACCTTTCGTTTCCTCACTTTATTTTAGGAAGAAAATGAAGCATCAACTGATATATATTTTTTATTAATAAAATATCTTGGGTCACTTAAATTATAAAGGGAGGTAATTAGCTGACAATCTATACCTTTACAGCATCAGCACGGTGTTACAACTAATAGCATGCAAAAATATAAAGATCGAAAGTACACTCGCACATGGAAGAAATGGTCTAATTCCCCATACTAACACGGTCTCAAAAACTAGCATATACTAGTGATGGCACTCAAGAATATTTGGCAATAAAAATGTAAATGTTTACCTGTCACTTTCATTATACGTTTGTAGTTATTGCATGGCACATTTTGCGCTTTAAATTTCAAAGAAACTTGCAAACTATAGATTGACATGAAGGCCATCTTCATTTTTATCCAAATAATTTTGCAGTGCAGAGCATAACCCCTCCCTTATAACAATGAGGTCAGTTCTGTATATCATAATGACTTTGGTTCTAACTGCAGCCTTCAACGGTTACAAGATAGGAGCTGAAGAAATGCATATGTAAATATAATTAAGTGATCTTTAACTTGAAGTCTTATAATTATATATCAAGGGAGAATTATTGTATGATTTAAAATTTCCAAGCCTGTGGAAATAAATCCTTGGTCTATAAAGGATTAAATCTAAAGTTGTTGAAACATTAAAAAATACTTACCTTAACAAATTTTTCACCCCCTTGTTGAGATCGGTTCTGTTTTGAAACATTTTTGCTATTGTTATATTTGTTAACTAAATACAACTTGGATCCAGACTTACTTACTGTTCCAATTCGTTAAGTGAACAATGAAGAAAAAATTGAAGCTAGCCAGTCTGAAATAAATGTCAACTTGCTGCTGACTATTATGAATTGCCTTTCAACTGTATAACATGTCAATTTTAGCATTGCAATATACAAGCTCTTAATAGCTTAATTTAAAGCAAAATACTATTAATCTAAGCACAAGGTCTTTAACTCGGATATCTTTGTGAAATGTCTGTTAGCCGAATTTTTAATAATATTCAATGATGCAAATTTATTACTAATGCAAGTGGTGTTGTGCAGCTCCATTTTGTCACACCAATGTTTAAAGAGGCAATTAACTTCGAATGGAGTGCAAACTGAAATTTAAATTATAGACAATATACAAACCAAAGATAAAAGCATCTCCAGTCATTCCTCCACCACAATCCTCAGTTTGATCCAATTACTCGCAAAGTGAATCCTACATACAGAAAAGGCATCTCGATACTTTCTTTCCCTCTACTATCTCCCTTTTTACCTGCATTAATCATGACTCACATGATCTGCAAATGAATACTCTCAATGATTTCTACCCACTAGTTTAATGGTTAACCTGCATTTTGTCTTGAGCATTTCAGTTGCTGAGCTGATAAGTTACAGTTATACTTGAATATTCATACGAGCTTCCTTTTAAACTTCAACAACTGTGGTCAATTCCTTCACCTTTCACTTGACTGTTCTAAAACGCAAGTTAATATAGCTTTGTTAATCTCACCACATGCCTATACAATAGTAGTAATAATAAAAATGACAATAAATAAGAAAGCAAATCTAAAAAGGGCTAGTTTTGGTCTTGGGTTAAGAACACAATATTTAGCTGTGATTTTTTTATTATTCGACAGAGCACTCTAGCCATACAATCATTCACAATCACGCCCAAAAGGACAACAGTAGAGAGCACACCAAGCTCTAGCTCACCATCAAAGGCTGTAATGATAGATTCAAGGCAACACATTCCAAAGGATACCAGTAGAAGGTGGAGCCTCAAATCCACAACAGCCACATTTATCTCATCACATCTCTTCAGTCTCCACCTGTATCTCACTCCTCCTCACACATCACCTTCTGAACATCTTCACAGTAAAGACCCACAAGATCTTACATATCCAATGTATCATTCTCAGGTTCACATAATGTTCATTCTCCTAGCTAGCAATACATACAGATGTTAGGTCACACTTTCCATCTCACATCAGCTACTTCAGAGCAGAAAGACGGCTCTCTTGGTGATTCTAACTACTGGGTCCTTCCTAACCTTGCCATATTGCCAAGTGACGTGCCTCTTCAAGGTATTAGTATTTATTACAAGAAGATGACAACACTTTTCAAATTAAAGAGTTGGTAGTATAATCTACCTCTCTGCGAGCAAACATGGAGCACCGACTCGGAATGAATAGGTAATTACAGGTAAAGTGGGCTTTCTTTTAGATTTACTCCATGCTCTGATCTACAGACGAGTTTCACCAACCAAAAAGTTTAGATACACCTTAGGTGTTTTGGTCACACATAACTCACTCTGGTCACCTGACAGGACACGCACTTTTGTACCTTCCTATAATATATTTCTGAATAAAAACTCACGCAACACACACTTCATAATGAGCCCGTTTGGAGTTCATGTACACATCAGATATGGGTGATAAATGCTAATACTAATAATAAAGTGAATAAAATCTAGGTGAAATGAATGGAAAAAAACAGCATCATGTTTGTAGTTATCAAACTACTAGTGTCAGCCGTACCGGAACACTCATGCCAAAATTCAAACAAAACGCTCTTCCACTAAATGACTTGGAAAAGAAAGAAAAAAATCTCTTGTGATAAAACACAAGGCCTGCTTGTTAGTCGTACGTGGCTCTGTCATACCTTCTTTCATCAGCAGGCCAGGGGATAGCAGGAGGACTGGTAAGGGCAAGAGGCATGATTTTAAGATCTAGGCTGTTTTGGGCATGATTTCTTTGAGGGGGAACTACATGTTAAGACAAGGTGGGATATGATCACTGAACAAATGCAGGCCAAATCTAAAAATTAAAAAAATTAAAAACAAGAAATAAATGCCATTTCCATCTATTTAATCTCCAAAATATACCGGACAACACAGTCTTCCTGCTTCCAACTAGCTCTTACTGCTGACCACCATGCTCAACACACAGACTTTGTACTGTGATTCCCAGGTCAGTGACCTCGGCAACACTGAGAGGTGAGGTCAGGTGAGGTCAAGGTAATAGTTGCCCCCTACCCCAGGATATATTTCTGCTATGCATAATAGGATTTGTAGCCATGAACACATATTGCACAAAGCACTCAATGTTGTTTGTTTTTTAATTATCAATGTTTTTTGTTTTGTTTTATTATTTGCAAAAAGACTACCAAAGAATCTAGTCGAACTGGGAAGTGATGGCTCTCCCTAGCAAGACCCAAAATGACAAGTGTAAAGCAATATTTGTGCAGTGCTCATTGACAAAATGCTATAGTGAGAAGATTTGAGCAGGGAGTAGGGGCACGAGTCTACACTAAGCCAATGAGACTCATGCACTTTTTGGATGCCGTATTATAGATGCACACAAGTATTAAAATAAAGAGGCCAATGCTCATACAAGACTTCAAAATATATCTTAATTTGTTGCATTGTCACACACTCATAGCTTGGCCTTCCTAGTCTACACACTCAGGGCTTCCTCGGTCACACCTCACACTGGCAAATATTTGAGTCTGTGATTAGAGTGAGAAACATGATTATTTAGTGAAGCTATCAGCAATGCCCAGCCTTGTGTGGTAATTCAACAAGATAATTTTCCAAGAAAAAGCCAAGTAGAATTAACACCTGTAGTTGGGCATTTCTAACAGACTCACTTCCTTGCTGAAACAAACACACACTATATACAGGACTCCTGGTTCCACACTGTTCACAAAAGGCGAACAGCTAAGCTATTAAGCAATAAAGTGTGACCTTAGATTACAATGGTGTTGTGAAGCAGGTTGGAAATCAAATGATCAACTGTAACATTAATAACAGCATTTCTTGAGAACGGTATGGAGCCAGGCTCATGGTACCGATTGCCACTGATCCTCTTCACCCAGCAGAGACAGACCTGTCCTTGTACCATATACAAGGGATGGTACGCAGTCGCTCTTCTCTACGGGGCTCAGAGGGCCTCTCTCTCACGCTACCGAGACTTCCACACCCCACTGAACTGACTTGGTTTAGCTCGGTCCTGGCATTGGCAAGCTCTGCCATCCACACGTCCATACCACTCTCAGTACAATATAGCTGTCACACTGCTGGTCACTTTCCTTCTGGCGAGGCCGCCACCACCCATGCCCCGGGAGGCTACACGCAGCAGGAGAGGAGCGCCCTAGCAATCATACCATGTGTTCGGACACTGCTACAACATTCAGGGCCTAATACCTGGGCCCCAGCACCCACCCATACATGCCCACCACACCAAACGATACACACTAAGCGTGAATATTACCATCATTAAAGTTAAAGTGAATACTTGCCTAAATCTAAAGCATGCTTTAATTTAAACAAGGGACGAGGGAGTGTTGACATGACCACACACACATAACACCCCTGAGCCACCCCCTCTGCCCTTGCAGGCAGGTGTTAAGAATCTACTTGTCAGACATACGATGTAAACATTCTGACCAAGTCATACCAATAGTCATGGCCTGTGTCTATCATCCACTCCTCACCCACCCAAGTTTGCCAAAGCATTCTTACATGTAATCTCCCCTGTTATACCCCTTGTCTCCCCTACCCTGAGAAGGGCCCCAAGAACCACTCTGACTACCGTCTCCCCATCCGCCACCAGAGCTCCCGGATCCCCAGCCTCCCTGACTCTGGTTACTTGGGGGAGGATTTGAGTGCCCCTGACTGGATTGCCCCCCCTGGTTGTAGCCACCCGGTGCTTGGGTTCCATCTTGGCTCTGCTGCTGCAGGTTACCTAGGAGACCCCAACTGGCTTGACTGAGTGCAGCAAGCATAGGCATGGTGAGGGCTCCCATGTTGAGTGGGTTTACGTTCTGCCCACCACCCTGTCCTCCCTGCCCAGGTCCCCCAAGGCCCAGGGAGGTTCCAAGAGCAGCCAAGTTGGGCATTTCTCGGTTCCCTCCCTGGTTCCAGACCCCACCGTTATTCATCCCCTGACCATAGCCTCCCTGACCATATCCTCGACCGTCACCCATGCGTCCACCACGCCCAAAAGGTCCACGGTTGGGGTCACTCTTGGGTGCAGCGTTAGACACATGGACTGAAGTACCCTTCACTATGTGATCCTCACCACAAAGGCTCTGAGCTACTTCAGGATCTAAGAAAGTGACAAAGGCAAAAGCCCTGAAAGGCTTAGGAATGAAAACATCGGTGACCTCACCAAACTTGCTGAAGTATTCACGGAGATCCTCCGGTCCAATGTCTTCTGTGCAACGGCCAATGAACACTTTGCTGTTCACCTGCTGCACCATACCTTCCTGCTAGAAGAAAATACATTAGACTTCTAGCATTTCATCATTCTACATTACTTTCTAATTACAAAAATCTCTCATGTCTACAAATAGCACACCAATGGTCTAGACCTTCTGCCAAACTGAAATAAATCAAGCATTTAGTATCGGCCTTAATAGCCATACACTTCATTATCAGAATTATACCACTGACTTAAAACTATGTACCATCAAGAATATTATCCTCATCATCAAACAAGCAAAAGTAATAAAGTATGGTGGCAAACTACCTTCGAGTTGGGGATCTTGACATCACAAAGACGTCCGTCAATCATGTGGCGCTGTGACAACACGCGCTGCTGGGTGTCGTAGTTGCCAAACCTAATGAAACCAAAACCTTTGCTCTGGCCAGTCTTGGGGTCCTTCTTAACCTGTTGGTGATAATGGAAACCAAAATTAGCATTGCCCTAAGAACCACCTTCATCAGAAGCTCAAACTTTCCAAATATCAGCTACATTTTGATACAACCAGGTAAGTGCAAACAAGAGCCGAAATCCAGGAAACCACTTACCTGGGCCATAAGAACCTCCCCAAAAGGTTCAAAGTATTCACGCAGTTCCTTCTCAGTTGTCTTCCAGGGGAGGCCAAGTACAATCAGATCGGAGCACCTCTGCTTGCTTTCCATTCGCTTGGTCTTCGACATGGAGCTCTCCAAGTGGTCATCAGACTTCCTCTTGTTCTCTGATGAAAATGAAGATTGTTCAGCAACTGTATAACAGTTGCCCATATTTAGATTCAGAGTACCAACAGTGGGCACTATAATAGTGACAGTAAGCCTAAATTTCTATTCCAATTTGGTTATTTACATATCAACTAGTCAGTAAATATGGGAACATCAATAAATACCCTTCCCAAACCACTTATTCTATACAAAAAAAAAAAAATTCAAGTAGTCCCTCTACTAACTGGGAACGCTAATACATTACAATATTAGTATTTCCAGGGCATTCTACCACGTCATACATTCCTCACATCAAGCATCCTCAATTCGTCTACCTACAAGCCCCTTAGAGAGGCCTCTGCTCCACTACTAACAAAATACTCCCAAATTCGCCTATTTCTTCGTTACCGGTCCCCGAACCGACCCTCTCCTACATTCAACCTACTCCCTATCACCCCCTCCCTCTTACACGCCTACAAGATGCTCTTCTTCATCTGGCTTTCAAGGCATCGCCTCGTGCCCGGCTCACCCCCCCCCCCACCCTCCTCTAACCGTCCCCGCCATCCCAAGCCTCTCCTCTCCAACCGCCATGCTTTCTCCTCCGTCTTCTTTTCCCATCTCCGCGCGTGAAACAAGCCCAAGAAACGGAGACGGGAGAGGGCAGAGATAAGACGTCGATGGCGCCACCTCATCCTCCTCCATTCCCGGCGTCCTGCCCCCCCCCTCCCCAGGCCGCCCGCGTCCCCACGCCGGCGATCCACGCGCCCTCCGCCGCCACACCGCCGCCGACGCCGCCATCTCGCGCCCTGACTTTTCCCCCTCTATTTCCGTTCGCGCGATGCTGGATTCTGGGTTTTCGGGGTCGAAGGGGGAGGGAAAAGGTTATTCGCGAAGGGGAAAGGAGGGAAATGGTCTTTTTTAC